CGACTGCAGCTGCATATTGGAAAAGTCTTAAGTATGCAAAAGAAAGGCAAGATCCAATAATAAGAACGAGACAGCCATACTCTTAGAAGAAACTAAAACAGAGTGCTAGAGGCTGTTTTAGTAAAGAAAAAGACAAACTGTTGATGATCAGCCAGAAGAAGAGCCAAGATTTGGCCAGGCCATGTAACAGTTGGGGTACAGCAGTTTTATTTATCCTTCTACTTGGAGTAGTCTGGCTGTTTATGTAACTCTTGCTTTGCTCACTGGCCCAGAGAAAGCTAAGGTGATGTGTTAACTGCTAGTCCCAGAAGGTTGCAATGGAGGACACACAGGTTTCCTCACTCCCCAGTATGTTTCTATCATTACACTTGGCCCATTTTTCCTTCTAGGATCTGTCTTTTCCTCTGGTCACTGCCGACACATCCACAGGCAGAGTCCTCTCCCAGGTGTCTCCAAAACACCCATGTACTCTATCTACTAGCCAATATTAATGCCAGTTGTTCCAGCTCTGCATCTCCCACCAGTCACTTGATGTGTTTTGCGATTAGTCACTCACATTCCTTTACTCAGCCTGTATTTTAACGAGCAGCAAACATGAACGCTGAACTGCTGTTAATTAAGCCCAGCAAAGGAAATCACATCAGCAGCTTAAATCAGTTTATATCTGTGTGGGTACACTACATCCATGCACAGACAGTGTATTCATTTGGCGGTCTGTTGCCCGAGAGGCGCTGCGGTTCCTTAATTGCCTCACACACACAGACACCTTGCGCTCACATTCCAAACGCTACCAGCACCATTAGTTCCTTTCACACTTCATTTCTCCGTGCCAGGCATTCAGAGATTTCACAATCTGCATATCCTCCTTTTAAGACATCACAGATCTCTTCTGCAGGCCTCTGAGGGACTAACGAGCAAGATGTTTATTAATTAGCTGCTTATCAGCCGTACTCCACAGCTCCCTACTAGTTCAGCTGCTCAGCTACAGTAATTAGACAGCCCACTTTCCAGTCTTTTATAGCATTGCCTTAGACAGAGGGTTTCACTGTTCCTGAGACTGTGGTACTTTCTGGCAATTTTAGACATCTGAATGACTAATAGAGAAATCCTGCCATCTGTATTATTCACTGTAGCTCCCCGTTCTAGGTTTTGGCTCATGCGCACCGCTGTCAATATGTGTGACCACCAGCCCGCTAGCATCCAGATGTCATCTGAAAGTTTCTTTATTTGCATCATCCAAACAGTCAAAAAAGCATGTACTCGCGCTCTCTCTGATTCAGAGTGCGAGTGAAGTGGGTAGTGTTACTTTTCATGCTGCAAGCCTTCTCAAACAGGAACAAAGTCAAGCCAACAAACATGCTGTCTCTGCTTCATGCAATGAAAGGCTTGCTTGTATGTCTGAACTCCCGATTTCTATTAGCTACCAATAGCTCGTGTACTCACAGATTTCCTTAGTTAAATATCTGCCATGCAGAAACTTAGAGAATATAAAAACCAGCCTTTTTTTTCAGCTTACCAGTCAACCATAATTAATATTGTGCAGTGAGTACAACTAGAAGGAGGGAAAAAAAATTGCTTAAACCAGGCTTACTTTGATACTTTACTTTCTAAAATATATCCTTGAAATACCAGTGTCCGTGGCAAATGGTTCTCCAGGTCCCATAGTGATTCTAGTGCTTGCTGTCCTGTCTGTCCATTCATACTGCAGAGCTGTGCACTTAGGCCAAGCTGTGGCTCCTTTCATCTCTATACCACCAAGTGCACAGACTTGGACGTTCTGGTTCTAAGCAGAGCCGACACAACTTCACCGTGACATTGGAAAGCTGTAAACCAAGATGTTTTTCCTTCCCAAAAGACAGTAAGAAGCAACGTCAGCATCTCACAGACTGTACATACGCTGCGCACACACCGGTGATTAAGTCCACCCCAGCGCGTGCCTGCAGTATATGCATGTGTAGACACAGCTGACCTGATCTTGAGCCCTTGCTTCCTCTCTCCACATCTGCTCCCAAGGCTGTAGGTCAGGAGGGGCCTGGGACGGGCACACACAAGGGCCCTTGGCCGTGGCTACATGAATGACGTACCCAGGTCCACTCCAAAGAACACTTACCCCTGTAGACAGCCACAGTCTGTACCAGTCACTGGCACTGTATCCCAGATAAAAAGTGGGCTAACGCTGTAAGACAGGGTGACTTCTTTTTTTCTGAAACAAATGCTAACAGTAAGGCATTGCAGAGTGTACAATGATTACATTATATACTTCCCAGCAGAAAACAAGAAAAAAAATCTACTTATCTATCTCTGGAAAAGAACTCAGACTGTTTTGTTCACAGGAAGGTGAAGCGATTTGTCAACATCTTGGTTTTCTGATGTGCAAGATGCAGAATTGCCCTGATGTCATCTCACGCACAGACACACACATGCAAAACAGCATGTCTCCCAGCTGGTCCAGATTTAGGACCTTACTAGCAGTCAACCCTCAGACCTCACAGCCTCTCCAGTCACTGACTTTGACCACCTGGTCCCTCAAGTAACCAAATCTCAGATCATACAATCACAGAATGGTTTGGGTGGGAAGGGACCTTAAAGACCATCTAGTTCCAACCCCCCTGCCATGGGCAGGGACACCTTCCACTAGACCACGTTGCTCCAAGCCTCATCCAGCCTGGCCTTGAACACTTCCAGGGAGGGGGCATCCACAGCTTCTCTGGGCAACCTGTTCCAGTGCTTCACCACCCTCTCCATGAGGAATTTCTTCCCGATATCTAATCTAAACCTCCCCACTTTCAATTTAAACCCATTACCTCTGGTCCTGTCACTACAGGCCCTTGTAAAAAGTCCCCTCCCAGCTTCCTTGTAGCCCCTTCTGGTACTGAAAGGCTGCAATAAGGTCTCTTAACAGTTTTGGATGCTGTGGTCCAAATAAGGGTGCTCTGGTCTCTTCAGTAGTTTAGATTTATGGCCACCTCCTACCCAATTTGTCAGCTTGTCTGTCTTGACATTTGCTAGTGAGTACATACTGAGATATGTACCCACACAGTATGTACTCCAGTCTCTCCAATTGCTGGCACCCCGAGCCAACAGCCCCTGCCACCTGTGATCCAACTCCGGCTGCTGGCAGGTAGACCTCCATGCATACTCACGCACATAGAGAAAACCCTGGAAAAGTTAGCGCACCCAGGAAAAGTTAGAAATGGAGTTCAGTGAGAAGACAGGACAGACTACACTGAGCATCCCCTTCCATGCCCTTATCCCTCTTTTTCCACTCTTTTTCTGTCCCAAATCACCTTGATTCCCCTTTGCCCACCTTTGGTTCTTTGCCTAAACATCCCATAATAAGCCTTTGTGCAATCCCCATACAATCTCAAGATGCTCTTCCCTGCATCCCATAAGAAATTCCATACCTCCAGGCTGTATCCATCCTCAGCCTGCAAGGTGCTCCAGAAAGCTACTCCCGTTGACTCACGATGCTGGGTCTCACTCTCAGTCCATGGGGCTGCTGCCCTCCTGGGATGCCCCAGGAGGGGTTGGATTGGAGTCCTGTTCCTCTGACTGGGTTGTCAGGGTTCCCCCAGTTGCTGCTGTGCCTCTGTGCTCCATGGTGTGTGCTAAGGTGAGCCTTTAATCAGCTAGCCCAAAGAAAGCACTCATTAGCTTTAGCTATTTCATGATGCAGCTGCTAGTACTTTAGTTCCAGTATTTCACTCGTGTAGTTTGACTTCTATGCTTAACGCACATGTGAATGTTTTCTTTTAAAAAATGGCTACAGAGCTTATTTCAGACTGCTGAAGAACTTCTAAGATGTAAACACAAGTTTTATCTTGGGCTCTCCTTATGCATTTGCTTAGACAACCGTGAACGTGAAGCCTGGATTCTTTTCATCGAGAGCCTAAGAGGAGAAATGAACAGGGAGCATCAGCTCTCCACAGAAATCACTTCCACAATGCAGGGAGCTAAGGTTTTACAGGCGTTTAGGTCAGCAGTAGTGCCAGAGCGTGACAAATATCTGTTCAAAGGATTTTATATGAATTCAACTGTTCCACGAGAAACCAGTGACTTCACTTGTCTTAGCTTCTTATGGCAGTGATGGATACCTCTGAGATTATTCTTCTTTTTTTTGTTTTCTGGTGGCGTTTTGTGCATGAGGAAAAGAAGGCTGCACAGACTGCTCTCTTAAAAATTCCCTTAATCAAGATGCCTACGGAGAGCTTCCTTCACCATGTTATACAATCGATAGATAGGCTACAGGAAAGACCAAGTCTTTACATTCCTCAGCTGACACTCAAGATGCAATACAGTGCTTTCAGACTACCAGGTAACAAATGAGATAGACACAGAACTCCAGTGAATATTAAGCAAATACTGTGAGGTCTTATTACACAGCGAAGTCAAATCGAACATTTAGGCCGGCTGAATCTCAGACCCAATCAGTGTATTGAGGCTGGCCTAAAGCCACACAGGCTTCAAGCACATGTGAATTGATAAACTCGAGTCCTCTCTCACAGGTAAGTCATTTTGCACGCCTACTGGCATGCACACTTTACGCCCAAAAGCTGTCTCCCAAGCCAGCTGAGTTTTCAGATCACATCACCGCTCACCCGCAAGCACTCTACGCAGACATACAGACTGGTACACAGAATAACCGCCCTATAAATCTCAGAATCCAAGCTGTAGGTTTTCAAAGCTCGTGTGTCTTACTCCATGCCCGAGGATTCAGGGGCAGAGCCACCAACCCTCACAGTCAGAGTGCTGATGCTTAACTAAGCAACAGATTTGCTGATCAGATTTTCAGACGTTTCCTTCTCAAGGACTCAGTGGGAAGCTCCTCAAGCACTGCACGTTCCAACCTCTGCCCTAGCATTTGCAAAGCAAAAATTGATGCATAATCTCTAAGCATGGTTCATCGTTATTTAATACACTGGTGGTTATTTTCTTCTGTATCATTCTAACCACACTCATACAGTTCACTGAACAGAGATGAATTTATTTTTCAGCGTCACCTATTTGTAGTTCTGTTCACCTGTGGCTGTAAATCTCACATTTCCAACACTAGTTGTCTTATATTCCTCATCACTCTCCTCTGCTTCTTCTGGGGTGTCCTTCTGCTTAAACGCTTTTCTGAATGGCAGAATAAAATCTGCTTGTCCAGGGGACAGGTTAGGAAACGTGGCATCAATATACTTTTGAAAAGCTTGTCTTGTTGCTTGTATTTCAGTTTCCAGGCTGTCCTTCCAGGCTGTCATCTTTTCCAGTTCTTGTGTGAGAGTCTTTACCTGTTCTTCTGCTGCTTTCAGCATAGCCATCGCTTTTTCCAGCTCATCAAGGTGCTGGGTCTCTGCTTCTCTGAGCTGCTTTTCAGTCTCAATCTGATTCTGTTTTCGTGCTACACTCAGGGCAATATTAATCTCATGATGTTTTTCTTTGTTTAATTGCTCTATACTCTTATGATACAGTTCCTCAGCTAACATACTTTCTTCTTTGAGTTGCTCTAAGTGCTTTCTATTTAAAAAAGAAAAAAAAAAAGATTTTTAGGGAACTCATGTAATTAAAGATTAGGTAAAAAACAGTTTAAGTCTATTCTGGTTGTGGTAAAACCTCTCTTATTCAACTATAAATATACATAAAATCAGAACTTGATGTAGTACCTCAGAAACAAAATAGGGTAAAAGAAGGCCACTGATGATGCAGAGAAAGGCAGCTGCAGAAGATTTTATTTCTGCATGTGTCCCATCCAGCTATAATTTAATGATGCTATCTTCCAAATGGAAAATATAAAGGATTACTATTTCACTCTTCATCCAGGTCTCTGTGAGCTAGCACTTAAGTACCCACTGATTTTCAAACAGACTTTGAATGATTCTGCCCTCAAGTAAAAATCCTGTCTTGAAGTGAGATCTAAGAACTGATTTCTAGAATACAGATTAATCTGTAATTTTATTTAAGTGGTACCGAGAACATCTTTGGGCCAGCACGTCAGTCATAAAATACATAATTTACATTATGTAGTCAAAACTTTTTGGTGCAATTCACCAGGGTTGGCTCAGGGACACGTAAACAGTGCATCAGGCATCCATTAGGTTACTGAGCCAAATACTTCAGTGTAGAGAAAACAATTTCTGCCCTCTGTTATTGCTCCCTCCACTTTGCTGCAGACATTCTTGCAGAACTCTGCAAAGAGACCAGCTAAATTTATGCAGAATGTGATTTATCTTTGTCAGAAAGGGCATGTTTTAATAGTGAAAATGAAGGTATTAAATAACATGAAAATTTAAGTGACTGTTCAGAAAAAAAAGGCATCTTACAAACCACTGATCTTTTCATTGTGAGAGTACAGTGTTATTTTGTTGTTACATGAAATGTATTCTACTCTTAAGGGAGAGGGGTGTCTTATTATTTGGACATCAAAGCTGCTTAATTCACAAAGCTTAATTCACATGGCTAGAATCTCCTGTACCCTAAAGATCTCCACATGGACACATCTTTTCCAGTTTTGCATAGATGTCATGAATGGCACAACAGGCCCCCCAAGATCTCTATTTCTGATTACTCTAAATCAGCCATAAAAAGTAAAACTTTTGAATCCTTGCTTGGCTTTATGATACTTGCTTTTAGGAACAAAATATGTTTTTTTTCTACATGGGGCATCAGCAAGAGAGTGTAAGCCTGCAACTCTTGCTGGTCACTTGACATTTCCAAATACTTACTTTCCTAAAGGGTCTATTGACCTTTTCCTAGAAGACCCCTGAGCAACGCTGATGCAATTCCGGTCATTTCCTTTAGCACAGCACGTTTTCCAGCCAACTCAATGGAAACACTAAGAGCACCTGTGCTGCCTGGCTGCTTTCTCCAGGGCTGCCTCCCTCTCCTGTTTCCTGGCTTCGGCCACCGCTTCCATCTTCTCCCGGGCACACTCCATGAGAGCGCATTGAAGTCTGTGAGCCATGCGCTCCTCTGCAGCTTCAGCCTCTCTCTTCCGCTCATCCTCCATGTACTGCTGCACCTCTGCCTTTGCCTTCCTCACCTCTTCCTTAAGCAAAGTTAAAGGTAAATATGAGTAGTGACAGCAGCTTATTGCTCAGTTGTCTTTAAACAATCCCCAGCAAAGCCCAGCGGAACCGACTTCAGGAAAATATTACAGGCAATTACAGTGACTTACAGTAGCATCATTCCACATCATCTATGTTTTCTACATAAGGCACAAAAAGTTCCCTAATGTATTTTTTTCACAAGCTCACATGGCTGGTGGCACAGTTTTAGGGTGAGATGGAGAAGAAGCCAGGACCTTTGTTATGCTTGTCAGCAAGATATTGCTTGGGCTGATACATAAAGTTATGACAACACTAATCTTAGGGTGTCTAGATGGACATACGTACATCTGGAATCTCAGACAACTCCATGTAAGCCAATATACCTCTTGCTATTATAGGTCATACCACAGTTCACCATCCAGTAAAGCAACTGAACCCACTTAACTCATCGCCCAGTTATCTGCACTCCTGTGCCACCATTCACAGTTATTTCCAAGACCCCTGACCAGGGCATCCTCTGTGGAAGCGGCAAGACACTATTGGGAAAGCTCTGGTTGCTTAGACCTGGGTGGGTTTTCTAATACAGGATGAGCAGAGTTACATGAGGTCTACTGTAAATCTTCTGCACATCCATGTACAAGCTCTGTATTGTGTGCATTTTTGTGGGCACTGCTGGCAAGAGGAGTGACAAGTAATAGGACCTGCTTAAAAGAAACCTAACTAAAACCATTTTACTGTTAGTGGTGGTGCAACGGGCACACCAGCACTGCTGCAAAAAGCCATTCCTCAGGCTGTCAGCTGAAAGCAGTTGCCTTTGACCTATCTTGCATGTAAAAACCCACTTCAATCACTCGTTCAGTGACTGTTTTTTTTGGCTGCCAATATCTGTTTGCTAAGACAGATGCTGAGTCAATTTTCTGCCACCACTTCAAGCTGGCTGCTAGTGAGTAGTTAGCTCACTGTTAACACACCTCTTAAAATGAACTGCAAGAAACACAAACCACCAAACATAAAACACCGCACAGTTACTTGAGTTATATCTGCCTCTTCTTTTGTTTCAGCTGTGGAATTCTGTATCTGCTCCCTAGTCCTTAATCACAGGAGCCAGTGTTACCCGTATAAACGGTACGTGTTCAGATCCTGAGCACTCCGGTCTATGAAGATGTATAATAGGCTTACGGCAAGTAATTGAATGGTTAAACACCCAGAACTGAGCTTCTGCCAAATACTGTCAGCAGATGCTGTGACTGCAAAAGACAGGGCTCCCTTGGAAAACTGCTCCATAAAATGGAATGAACTCTGCCAGAAGCTTACGACCACCACTGTAAACCTCCCTGCTCTTCCTCTTGGGATGCTAAGCACATTGCTTTGACTGCCTGCACTACATACAGCTGTTTAGAAACTTGTATAAAATCAAACTCCAAAGCAAAACACTCCAGCAATTCTCTTTGCGCCCTTCGTGCGCCAGTGGGAGGCTGCAAGACTGAGGATGACAGGTGTTAGACCGACTGCCTAACGCCTGACAGGAGTGCTGGGATGCCTTAGCAGTAAAAAGCCCTGTGAAGTGGTGCAGAAAACAGGAAGGCTCAGATCCAGAAGGCAGTTGCCTTCTTTTCTCTTTGTTTATCTCCGAGTCTTTCCACAGATATCCAAACAGCCATATAAAGCATGGGCTAAGCATATATAGAAATGCCAAGCTACGGATGGTGTGCTTCATTCAGAATACACATATGCCAGCAGTTTTCCTTCTCCTCCAACCCAGTTAGGGTCCAGTTTCAGTCTATCAGTTGAATACCTTTCTAGCTTCGATGGACATGAAAGTTCAGGACAGACTGGCTTAAGCCCATATTTACCTGCCCTTAGGAAATGCACCTCATCAGTCAGTGGCTGGCTGAATCTAGATCGGACAGGGAATTTTCAACAAAGTCCACAAACTTCATTCACTTAAAAAAAAAAAAGTGTGAAACATGCTGGAAGTGAAGAAAAAATCCAGCTAGCTCAAGCTCACATCTCACTGAGCACAAAGACAAAGCCTTTTTGTCTTCTTTCAGGCCAAGGACTTCTCCTGGCACTAGAGTTCAAATCTCAGATGTATGAAGGTCCTGCTTATGGCAAGCACTAAAAAAACCAAACCCATTTTTTTAACACAGAACGACATTCTAGGCTGTCAAAAACATGGTTATGTCATGCTGGCTTTTTCCACGGTAGTTAATGAAAGCAAACCAGTTCATACCCTTAATTCCGTTCCAAGTTTTTGTTTAAGGTCTTCTACAACTGCACTGTGGTTAGCGGCTGCCTCTTTGAGAGCTTTATCCACTGCATCTTCCTTGTACGTTTCAGCCTTTAAAACAAGTTATTATTGAAGTATAGCTGCTCACATGCTATTAGCATCCTATTAAGATGAAGCAGAGTTACATAATCAATAGTTCTGTACTTTCTATTTAAGAAATCATAGCAAGATAAATTTAAAACCAGATGGCAAAATACATTCTGGCCCATTGGGCAATTTTATTTCAGTGATTCCTGTTAATATGTGGCCACACAATAGCATTGAGCTGCCACAGTTGTAACCACGATACATACATATAACATAAAGAGCAGCTTCAGAATCTTACGTAGCACCATGGGGAACAGCTTTAAGGACCGATAACTTCTGGGTGCTTTAAAAGGCCATTTTCAGACCAGACGTAAAATTTGGTATTAATTCAAAGTATGCTTTGTTGTGACCAGAAACTGGAGAAATACACACACAGAGAAATCTGTGAAATTAATGACAGCTCTATAGCAGTGACCTCCAAGTTCTTTATTAAATGTCTTCATGCTATAGCAATTATTCCAAAGGATCGTCACCATTTACCTGGCAGAAGCATTAATTTAATTTACCTGAGACCAAAGTTCAGCTTTCAGTTTTTCAATGCGCTCTTGTATCTCTGCCTCCTTCTTTCTATGCTGTTCTTGTTGAATGTCTGCTCCAATCTCTGCACAAATCAACACAAGTGGTTCACGCACAGCAAACAACCGTAGTGCAGAAACCCCTGCCTCTCTCCTGACCCCTCTGCATGGATCACCAGCTGAATTAAAAAATCAAAATGCTAAAATCCACGCACCCCCATTTCACATATAGGAAAATACAATTGTTCTTGCTTGTGCACAGATCCATAAATGTGATAGGAAGGTGCTGGACCCACCTCTCCCCTTCTAGAAAAGGCTGCACAACAGGAGGGCTGAAGAGCCACATTTTCCTGGACTATTAGGAAAATGAGAAAGGAATAGAGCCACAGGAGATCTAGCTTTCACACAGCCACTGGAGGACTAAGTCTCCCTCTTTCACTCCAGCCTTCTTCCCCACCCTGCATGGGTGGGCACACAGAAAACAGTAGCAGGATGGGACGGAGTCAACTGATTTAAATCAGCGAAACAGAAGTCCAACAGTGCATAAATCTTAGTGACAAGCATGTGCTCTGACTGCACAGCTTCTCCCCAGTCCACTGTATGATGCAGTAAAGAGAAAATAATTTTAAAAGGGACTGTCTGTGGCCTTCTGGACCTGTTCTACACTGTGTGTTGATGCAGGGCTGAAGCATCATGTTCTGAGACACGCACGGCGCTCACTCTGCTGCCAGGGCTCTCAGTGCACCGATAACCTCTTGACGTTGTTCAAAACAGAAACTGAGCACACTCCTCTTCACAGTGCACCTTAATTACCATGCGCAACGTGATTTCTACAAAACTTCACACAGCTGATCAGAAACCTCTGTGACAGTTAGGCGGGACATATAAAGATACTTAAGAGCTCCTCGAAAGTACCAACGCTAGCACATGCTTTCCTTCATCGCTGAAGTTATGACCGCAGTACGCCAGAAAAAACAACCACCCTCAAGAGGCTTTGCAGAGCCTCAATATAAGGTGAGCAGCCAGAAATCACGTGTAAGGTGGTAGGATTCAGGATGAAACATTCCAGCTGTGTCCTGTTAAAGGACGAAGAGCTCATCTTTGCAAACGTTCAGTCAAGCATAGTTCCTAACCTACTACAGGTTTAGAAAACATTTGCTAACGGTCTTACAGCTCATTCTCTTTTGCACTTCATTTTGCCCAAATCCGAATGTCTGCACGCACCACAGGACGGCTGACCCTGGCCCCCCTCTGAATATGCTGGATTAATTAATATTCAGAAGGTAAATGCAGTTTGTTCTTACCAAGATGTGAATGCCTTCATGACTGTCAAGAACAGACAGATACAACAGCTATTGGAGTTCTCCTAAATCTCAGATTGCGAGGAAAGGATTTCAAACAAACTTACCCAGTATATCACGATGAGTGTAATACCGTGTTCTGAAAGGCTTATACTCCCGAATCCGATGAAAAATAGCGTTGGAAGGTGGTGATGGTTGTATTATTTGTGAACACACAGCACAACAAACAAAGGAATCCAAATCTGGACTTCTAATCATTGTGGTATTCTAGCATTTTTCTGTAATACAGTTACCAAAATGTCAGAACTCCTGCTGATGGCTGTCTCGCTTGCCGGCAAAACGCTTGTTGTTCCTACAGAAAGCACGGAAGCTGGTGCAGAGGGAAAAATCACTAACCAGTACTCTTAACTAAGTTAGCTGAAACATTTCCTTTCAGATTAGGATTCATATGTGCTGACAACTCAGTAACGTGCTGGAGGCAGATGATGAGGGAGGTTGTAAGAGGTGACCCAATCCAGCCTTCATACAGCTCCCTGCATAGCAACTGTTACCAGGCAGGGCTGGCTTTGCTCACAAAGAACTCACTTGCCCTGGTAATAGCTCAGCAGCGTCACAGCAGGCTTTGGATTCTTAATGCACTTTTTGTTGCTGTTTAATGTCAACGCCCCTATTTAAACCAATCAGTCTAAAGAGATTTTAGGAGTTGTACAATAGCCACTGTTTCAGATACCTGAATCACAGAATTTTGTTGCTGTTCTTGGTAAAGATGTGAAAGCCAGCACAGACAATAAGGCACTGCCAAAAACCTGAAAGAGCCTCTGCCTGGGAAATCATTTTGACTCACAGTTCCTGTCAAACCAGCTACCATCCATTGTAGATAATCATCACTCTATTGAAGATGAGCTTGAGAAAAACAGAACAACAGAAAACGTATTGGTGCTGTTGGCTTACCCTCCAGACGCATAAGGGGAGCAGTGCTTTCAGAGCTGACCAAACACACCGAAGCAGTTGTGTTTGGGTGGGGTTTTTTCCCTTTAATATATAAACACAGTTTTTATGTATCTAAATCAGGTACTTAAACCAGCAAATGACAGTACTGACCCTACAACACCCATTAATTTACTATTCTTCTCTCTATCTGCACTGCTTTATCTCCTTTCAATACGAAACTTTCGCAGCGTTGAGTTACCTGTACAGCAGCGACCACAAACAAATATGAAGAAGCTCCTTAAAAATACACACAAGCCTAAATACTCACTCTTCCTTCAGCCTGGGTAGTTCTAAATTAACCTGGTTAACAGGGCTTTACCCCAGGCCCTGTCTCAGACAGCTTTTCTATGAAGTGCCATCAGCATGCACATCACCTAGACCCTGCCCAGCTCAGTCCCACACTGCCCTGCTTCCTCTCCCCCCAAGTAACTTCCTGAGCCATCATCACTTCACAAAACGTAACTCAGAATCATGAGAACTCAAACCCTGCATGATTCCCAAATATGTGACAATGGGAGACTGGGCCAATCATCTGCAGGTATAAGGATCAAAGTGTGTATTTTAAGAGCCTGCAGAAAAACAGGTTAAAATGCTTACCGTAGCATTCTTTTGGGAATAATTTAGTTAAATTCACGCAAACATACAAGACTTGTGCATTTTCATGAACTGAAGAGAGCTAAAATCCTGTGTGACCCTTTTAAAAAGAACAGATTGATTCTAAAGGTCCATCACATCCCATCAAACAAAACATACACTACAGGAGAGTCACAGCATGCGACAGTTCTGAATATTTGATCAATTCGCCTGGAAATTCCTTCACCAGTCAAAAGGCAAGTAGTTTCCTCACCTGCAAGCTTTTGGATTTGCCCAAGACCTTGCTGCTGTGAGGCAGCTAGGCTCACAGAGAGGAATGTTCTTTTAAAGGCTGTAAAAATGATGTTTCTTAGAACTTCATCAAAGGTAGAGCTCACTTCCCTTCTCAGGAAGGAGGTAGCCAAATCAAAGCCCAGCTGAATTCAGGATACAGATAACTACAAAACACAGGTAACAGGAAAATCATAGGCTCAAAATGAAGGTTTTAGAGGGAGATACAGAGAAATCCCATAGAGCAACTGCTGTCCCTCAAGGCCCTCGGACACCTTTTTTCTTGTCAGTAACAAAATCTTTCGAGAACAAAGCCCAAAGTAATTGCCAGTGGTAAAGCAGATGTCCTTCATGTTTTTGTTTCTTTGTTCTGGCAGAAGCCACCTAGGCCAGAAGGGAGTTAACAAAGAGACCTCTCAGTTTCTCAGGAGCCCTTGATGGGCCTGTAAATATGAGGAGCTGAGCGTAAAAATGCAACCAAAACATTATTATGGGTTGGTGGTGGAAAACAGTCACAGCCTGGTTCACGCTCTCCCACCACGTGTTTTGGATTTGGTTAATGGGATACCATCAGGCGCACAGAAGTAGCTGGAGAAGCTCACAGGAGAAAGCCTCAGTGCTGGAACAGGTACGTACCCACCTGTACAGTTTGTTCAAGGAAAAGGCTCACAGGGGACCAGCCCACCTGCTAGGGAAACGCCGCAACGCCCACCTGCCCTCCAGCCACACTTGCAGTGGCACCAACCGGGATATTGCCGAAGGTCACCTCCAACCCACACACGGGGCTGTTCAGCACATTCTATTCTCTGTGTGCGTAAGAACCTGCTGATTTTAGACTTTCCATTCCTTATTTTGCGTTCAGCAACCTATCATAAATTAACGTTATATCACGCACTCAGCAATACAGAGAAACTTTTGAATGCAGCTTAAATAAACCAGTCCTGCTGACTAGTTAACAACGCCTCACCAGTGCTGCCCAACCTGGACTCACGCACAGAGATTCACAAGCTGATACCTGTGTTCACTGACCTGCTGTGTGATGCCAAACCGGAGAGATAACGGCCGAGTTCTTCCTGCCTTTCTCTTGGCAGAAACACTCATTTCACTTCTACTCCTCCATCTAGCTGCTGATGTAGGTTTTTTTTCATTTGTAAGGAAAAGTATATCAGCATCCGAGGATTATTTTGGCCAGTATTTTACAAACTCATCTATTAAACAAAACCTTCAGTGACGGCTTTATCAGTTCATTCCTGCCTTACTTGCACCACTATTATCAACCTTCGACAGATCAAGAGGTCCGCTTTTTCTCTTCACACACAATACATTATGCCTTCTGTTTAAGAAGTAAAAAAAACAACCGCTGTTTTCAGTAAGCGGAGAAAAGCGAGCTGAACCACCACGTGAATTTTTAAGGCATTATTTAACAGTCTTGACTGCACGTTTGGTTAACTGCATGTCTTATGGCACACTGTGGAGACAGCAGACAACAACTCTTAAAATCACTTTTATGTCTGTATGCATCTTAACTGTAATTTATTTGTACAGGCATGGCATTTTATAAAGGCACTTAAATTGGATTAAATAGCAAGAGAGACATTTATCGATTATTTCAATGGACAGAGAAAAAAACAGTAGTTGCCTTGAAATGTTCTGTGACTGATTTGCTGATTTCCTTCCTTCCGTTGTCAGTCCCACTTAGAAGTTTTCCTCCTCATATACCTGGATCCCTCGCTGTCGATCGCTTCATAAAGGTCCTTTTTATTCTCTACTGTTGCATGCAAATAACCAAGGTAGGCCACGCAGAGAGAAATTGCTATGAGTCCAAATGCCATCACAGGTTTGTTCTGACCAAAACAAAAGTACATTTTTAGTCAAAGTATTTTTCAGTCATTACAAAGATCTCTTCCATCTTAGCTTAGAAAGTGAACAGTAAACTATTGTGACATCTGCAAAAATCATCACTGCCTTCTTGCAGACTGATCCAAATAACTTTTATGAGCAGCAAGAAGGGAGACCTGATTTTCTGATACCAAAAGGATTCCCTATAAAATAAAGACTCATGTCGCATTGCTTAGTGCTCTGCCTTCTGCTGGTCGGAAATGGTGCTTGAGCATGAATAAACAGGCCAAAATCAATTACTAAAGGTAACTATTACAAAATTCTAACAGAATTCATTTTGATACTCTACTGGGACAAAGCACCCTGCTCCTGCCAAGCAACTTTGACTATATTCCTCTAAAACAGATCATGAATTATCATCACAACATCTACTTTTATTATATGCATGAAATTTCATCCAGTTTTGCTGGATTCTGCCAGTGTAAATAAAACCTGAATATCATTAATGTAATTATAAAAGCAAGAAAGAGAAAAATCCAAAATATTGAAAAGCTAGAAAAAAATGCCCTCCTTTCATATCAGAAAGCTTGCATTTTATTTGTTCCTTTTTTAAATATGAAAGAGGACTCCTATTACTTAACCTGTCAAATTACATGGGTAATATGCTTGTAAACAGTCTTTCTGAAAGCAACTTGGCTAGGTACAAAAGAATCAGCAGTGACATAGAAGCTGGAATAAACAACGTAATGTTCTGGGCTCTTAACAATCAGAGTGGAAAAAAAAAGTAAAAATATTTTCAGTTACATTACTGAGTGGTTTGCATAACAAGAGATGGTTATATAATGCACACAGAATGGCAATTATTATTTTAAAGCAACCGTGTCTCTCCAAGCGTATTTAGCTTCTCTCAGAATGAGCCTCTTACAGGTTTAATGAAAAGCTCTGGGTTCACAGCTCGGAAAAAACTCTTCAGTCCTGGTTTTCTCCCTGTGGGTGTTTCATTTTCACTTGGAGGTTTGGTAGAAGGCATTTTAATTAATGCTGAATACTTCCTAAAAACAAAATGAAAAACAGGTGTCATTATTATCAATCAAACCTAAAAGAACTACATTCACTGAATACGAGTTCACACTCAGCTTGTCTTCTTACAGCATGAATTGTTGTTTGTCTATATATTAAACAATTGCCTTTGGTGTCACCTAACATTCCCAGCTTAAGCATGCTGACTTTCAATCTTGGCAGTTTTGTGCATCCTGCAATTAACTTTTGGAGATGCACATCTTCATATAGTAAATGTAAGTCTCCTGGTAACAGGCTTGGGGTTTTTTACTTGCCTTTGGCTAATGCCTTGCTACCTGTGGACCGAGCAGCATCCTTCAGGCTAAAAAGCCAGTATCAGGGCTCCTTTTTATTTATTTATATATTTATTTACATATCCTTACATGTGACAGGACAGCCCGCACCGGGCTGTAGCATGGGCACTATCTGCCCACCCCAGTGGCCCCAAGACTCAGGTCTCAGCTTCACAGGAGGGGCAGGTCACCTGCGAGATGCCTCCTGAGCCAAGATGAACACACACTCTTGGTTAACCCCCTTGCTGGGAGGGCACTCGGTGCTAAGGCCACTCCAGCCCCGTAGTCTACACGGGGAGAGGACAGCTGGGGGCTCCGGGGCAGGGTTCACAAACCCATCCCAGCAATCCCCCCGGGCCTCCAGACACAGCAGAGGTCAGGGCAGCGCGGAGGTCAGCGAAATGTGGCCACAGAGGCACAAGGCACTGCCAGGCACAAGGGCAGCACACCCCTACGTGAGGCGCAATCGCCCAGCAACCCTCCCGTACCGGCCCCCGAGCAGCTCAAACCGGACCCCGAGGGCGACGAGGGCAGGGGCAGAAACCACCCCCTGGGCGCCACTACCGGCTTTAGGCCAGGGACGAGGGAGGCAGTCTCCCAGAGCAA